AAAATTCCTTTAAGACCGTGCATTACTTGGTCTCTTCTAGACCTTCTAGCTTTAATTAGGAGCCAAAGGCTTCACTAGCTCTGCTAGACACAACCCTTCTTTCCTTTTCTGTCTTATATTGAGCCACCTACACGACATGTTCCCTTTAAGTTCAAAGGCAGCCATGCAAACTGTTTATACATCTTGAATTTTCTCATTCCCTTTTCCCCTAGAATACTCTTGCTTCACATCCCAGTTGAAGTGTTCTCTTCTAGAAAAAGTCTCCTTTGAGGTCCCTATGTGAAAAATCTGTTTGCATATATTTCCATAGTGGCATATTTATTTACAAAAAGTATCAAGTCGGAAGTTGATTGTGGTTACTGGATTAATATTTGTCTTTCCCACCAAACTTTGAGAAGAAACCATATATAATTTTATCAGTAGAATTCCCACTACTAAGTGGCGCATGGTAGATTCTCAACAAGTATTTTAATGAAGAATAAATGATTTCATTTTAACCAGGAATTAAATACCAATTAATGTTATAAACTGATAAGCTACTTAACAAACGGTAGGTAAAATTTGTTCCAGTTGAATGTGTTCCAAAAATTGTGCAAACTTTTACAATTTTATACAGAGTGTGGATTCTCTAAAATAAATAGCACGTTTTGTAATGTGCCTCAAATGAGTCTTTTTGTGGAACAATGTTTTGTCCATGGATGTAGTGTGATAAGTATGATCAGAAATGATGAATCTCTATGTAGGAGCCAAGTTTATGTTCAAAAAATGGCAAAAGACTTAAGATTGAATCTTTCTTCTCTATGCTAAAACTTTGCAATCCTTACAAAGACCACCACAAAATAAATGAAATGTGGGAGTAAAAGAAGCAACAACCAGTTTTGTAGCTACTGACCAGAATCAGCTATGAGCAATTGATAGACTTTAGTCATCTTAGCACATGTGATGCTGAAGATGCACTGTGAGCCATATTGAATTCCTCTACTGAAGAGAGTAACTTGGAAAAATTAAGAATAGAAGTATCTTATAACAAAGAATATAGCAATTGGATAAGAATGAGCAGCTGACCCTGTTCATTGTCTTTGCCCTTCCATCTTTATTTTTGGACAACTGATTGATCTCCAAAGCAGGATTTCTCTATCTGCCAGCATTTGCTGTATAAAAAAATAACCAAAAAAGTATACGACCACACACAAACACACACACACACACACACACACACACACACACATATCTCAGATTCACAGGTATTCTGGTTGACTGGAGTTGATGATCTCCACATATTTTATTCTAAGTCAAAAGATCAAAAGATGGAGGAGTAACTGTGTGGTTGTGTTAGTATATGCCCCCAAATTCCTTTACACTCTTTCTTTTAAAAGGGTGAGTTTCATTCCTTACCACTAAGTGTGGACTGGAGTTAGTGACTCATCCCCTACAAATAGAATAAGGTAGATATGGCAGTGTGAGATTCGGTTGCAAAAGGTATAGAGCCTCCTCCTTCCTCTCTTGTGCAATGCACACTTGGAGAAAACTAGGCATCATTCTGTAAGGACACTGAAGAAAGTCTATGGCTTGGCTCATATGATGAGCCATTGAGGCCTCCTTTAATAGCCATATGCACAAGATGTCTTGCAAATGCATCCTCCTGTCCTCCTCAAGCCCAGGTGACCACACACAAGGCCTACATCTTTACTGCATCCTCATGGAATGTGCAGATCCAGAAGCTCCCAGATTCAGAAATGCTTCCCAAATCTCTCACCCACAGACTGTACCATAGCAAATTTTTATTGTCTTATGCTACCTTTGTAGTAGTTAATTATACAGTAATAGATATGAATACTACCAGATACTTACCTTCATGTGAAAAGTTAAGAGTACAAGGGAACCAAAATCTGTAATGCAAGTACATTTCTAGTTTGTTTGTTCCAGTACAGTCTGCTAACATCCACTACCAAAAGTGTACCTTTTGGTCAAACCCAACATCAATGGTCAGATGAACATCTGTGTCTCTAGTATGCTAATAGCCACCCAAAGATATTGAATTCTGATCCCTGAAAATTTATAAGATAAGGAATCTACAAATTGAAGTCAAGAATTTTGACACAGGGAGATTAACCTGCATGATCCACTGCTCTCACAATTGTCTTTATAGAGTCATAGGGAGATTCTAGACACATACAAAGAGGGGACTGTGAATATAGAGACAGAGATTAACTGTGTGATCATAAGGCAAGGGACTCCAAAGCATGCTGTCAGCCATCAGAATATAAAAGAGACACACAAAAGTGGATCCTCCCCAGAGCCTTCAACTGACAGCCTGATTCTAGATTTTTGACCTACAGAATTATGAGAGAGTAAAGTTTTACTGTTTTGAGCCACCAAATTTTTGGTCATTTATTACAGCAGCCCTGGGAAACTAATACATTCTCCCACGAAGTGGGTACAGATGTCGAATACTAGCTGAACAGTATTCTGCTTTAGCATCTCTTCAGAAAACAAAACACAAAGCACTCTGATGCTACCAAAATAAATAAAAGAACACACAAATATATAAGCAAGCAAAAAGGAAAGGAAGAATATACATCAAAAGATTAATTATCCATGAAATCAGGGGAAAAACAGCTAACATTTTTCTCAGTACTCTTTAAGAAACAAAGTAAAAACATTTAAAAAATACAATGTCAGAGAAGAGATTAGATTTGATTTCAGGGGAAATAAATGAACATTAAAACATAAACCAGAAATGAATGCACCATTAAAACATGCATGTGTAATACATGGTAAAGAAAACCACACAACATTCTTAAGTGGTAAATACATAAAAGAAGAAGTGATATATACATACTTTACAATAGAAGAAACTTAAATATGTAATAGAAAAAATTTCAAAGAAAATAAAACTGCTGAATTCAAAGATCTAATTCTACAAATTGAAAAGATATTATGTATTTTAGAAATAACGTGGCATCATATTTGATACTTGAAAATAATGCAGCTTACAGTAAATGTAATCTTGGCCTTTCTCTTTGATTTTCCACATACACAACAAATTTGAAGTAATCTTTACATATGTTAAGATATGTGTAAGAAACTTATTGTGGTACTGGTCAAATAATTCTACTTTCTGTTAAATCAAGAGATGAGGACCTATGCTTCTGTCCTACAAGTGTACAGTCTTACTCTGAAGTGCTCTCTGATAGGACTTGAATAAAAACAGTTTTAGAAAGCAATTGTAATTGGCACCCATGCAAACCTATGTTAAATATATTCATAAATTTTGCTAAAGTCAAATTATTAATAATAATTGTGACCTTTATATAAGTCCATCTTTTAAGGTTCTAGTAACACCTTTACATTTCTATCCAACATTTGGCCAACAAATCAACTTGTATAACATTACCTTTCTGAAGATCTGCCAAAAACAAGTTCTATTAGTTACATGGAACATTGGCCTAAGCACTAATGTTTTTCAAATATCCACACAATGTGTCAGGCAATTTGTTAAAATGTGCCCAAGAAATTATCACAATTTATGTGGCACATTTTCATATAATATATTTGGTGAATTTGGAAAATATCATAACTAATGGCTTATGTTGGTCTGCTTTCTTTCTTGAATGGTGGCATGGCAAAAATTAAATGTTCTATATTTAACCAAAGAAAAATTTATATATGATTTATTGTCCTTCTTGGAATTTAATGAAAATCAATAGGAAAATAGCTTGACAGGAAAATATTAATTCTTCACTACCTTTTCAGAAATGTGCATAATGGCAACTTGAATACAGTTAAAGAAAATATACCTTTTGTACTTGAGATATATGCAGTATGTGTGTATTTGTCAGAAATAAATCTTCTATTTTCAAAAGTATATTTTTCTAAAGAAGTGATGTAAATGTGCCGAGAGATGCAGAATCACCCTTTTTATCAAATGGCACAAGAAACCAGGACTGTATTTTCCAGAATTTTGTAGAAAACTCTGCACATTGGGCTTTAGTATGTGTTGAATGGGTAAATAAAAACATTGTGTATTCAGACATGATATCCTGTGGGTAAAACAGATAGTATATACATTTTAAAGCCAGGACAAACACAGAGATCATTTATGCTTTCTATACATGATAAGAGTGACAAGGAATAGACACTTTTCTGAGGGGCAGATGAAGATCAGAATCCTACAACTAAGTCCTGTCCTTGTTGTACTTTTATCCTCTTTCTTTGATGATGTCATGTAGTCTAAGACTGCATGAAGTCCTTCTAGAAGCTCTGTTTGCATGAAATTGCTAGTTTGCTGGACAGAGCTAGTCCAATCTTGTGCATAAGAGAATCTGAAATCTTGTTCTTTCAAGTATGTCAACTAAATCCTTGATTCAGATAATCCTGACTTCTTAAACTGCATTTCTTAGAAATGAAAAGTGAGCAAGTGCCAGTGTTTTTCCACTCTACCTTTATAACAAACACACACATATTCAATCTCACTATTTCTCAGCAAAATTCTTTATCAACAATACCAAATTGTCTTGTTAAAAATGCTGTAGAATGGATTTCAACCTTAACTCTGGTGTCAAGAAGTTTTTCTCTTCATTCTAATGTAAATTCCCTTCCCTGTTTGATCAATATCAAGCGATTGAATGGGATGTGACCTCTTAAATTCATCAATTTTTTTTATTTCAAATTTTACAGTATTTTGTCTACATAGTGTGACCTCTAAAATAGGTTGTTTATTTCCCTAAATGAGCCAAATTCTCTTAGTGAATTCCGGAATTGAATTATTGCATGTAAGAAGTGCTTTAAATATGTGAGGGGATTGCATAAATACTTGTTTATCCTTTAGCTATAGAAAACTACTTTTCATGCCTAGTAAGTTAAACCAGGCAAAAATCATTCTCCTTAAAAAGAACATATAAATACCAGGTATTATATATATTATAAGATGGATATTTTTATAATTACTAAATATTAGAAAAGTCCTCAGTTTAACCATATTATTTTATTTATTACAGGACAAAATGATAGAAGTTGATAGCAACTGTGTAAACAATGAATCTAACTTTTTTAAAAGACATTCATGTGGTGATTCAAAGGTAATGAAAATTATTTAGAGTTTGTCGTTCTTGATTTTATAGAAGCTCCAATTTTGTGTGCCCCTGTTAGACAATTATATTAATGGCATGTTCTTTTGGTTCTATCCACACAAGTCCATTATTCAATTAAATTATATTATTCTTTTTATGCTATTATTTTACAAGTAGCCCTGGGCTTAATAGATAATAATTTTTGATATACCATCCTATTTTTCACTTTCAAAATATTAAAACTATTGAATTCACATATCTCTTTTTTTCTAAATTTCCTATTTGGGAAAAGACTTTTTAAAGTGTTTGCTTGCTTGCAAATAGACAAACATAAGTCATGGATATAACTTAGATGTAGACATTTCGAAAATTTTTTTCTTTCAATATTTGCTTAACTTTAAATCAATACCACCTCTACTTGGTGTAATATTACAATGTACAAAATCTCTAAAAGTTTGTATCATTTCTTGCTACAGAATCTCTTGTACTATTTGTTAATTTTTTTTTAACTCACAGTATCTGAACTAATCTCATGGCATCTCATATTATAGCCATAAATTCTTTATTTTTTAATTTCTTTAAATATCTAAAAAACATGTGTTTTACGTGACTATGGAACTTTTTATTTATTAGCAGCTAGCTCTTCATACATAGCTCAAAAGTTAGAAAGTAGTATCAGTAAGAAAAAACACACACATACCTCTTTCATCATTACTGCTTCCAGAAGCCTTCTCATTTAGTTATTCTGTTTAAAACTGAGTAATCTTACAATGTGTTCACCTATAAATGATAAGGTCACATATAACAGAGTAAAAAGATTTTAAGAGTCAGATAATCATTAAACCAAGTTCTGGGCATTTTATGCTGTCACCTAGGAGCTAAACAGTTTCAGCCCTGTACTTGTCAGTCATGTGATTAACAGGAAGAGAAAGCTGGGGTGGAGGTGGGGTATTACTTAATAATTTACTCTGACTTTAGGCTCCTTAAGAATGCTGCAGTTTCTAATATTTTATTTGAACCACAGCCCTTGTAACTTTTTCCTATAATAGGAAGCTGCTTTTCTAAATCGTGCTGCTCGCAAGTTGAACCAATTTCTTAAAATGAATATGAGTGAGGATTTCCAACTCCACTTATCAAGAATTTCAGAAGGTACATTAAAATTGTTGAGCTGCCCCAGCAAGGTAAGCTGAGAGTGTTTAGTCTGAACAAAAATATAAATTACTTCTGTGCTTGGATACTATTATTCTCTCACCATCCCATTCAATATCATAGAATTGAAAGTGCTTATGGCTACCTAATATTGAGATATATTTACTTCATTCTGGGAGCAAGTCTCCACTTGGAAAGTGCCTATTGATTTGTTGCAAGGGAACTAATAGTTTGTGAAAGGGGACTAAAAAAGAATACTTCATTGCCATAATTACTTGCAAGGAGATTAGGATGATAAATTTCATGAGGCATGATCAATTTTTATCTCCCAAACTTAATAACTTTGATCCAGATATGTCCAAAATCATATGATTCCTAGTCAGTAAAACAGCAACTAACATGTGTTTGACAGATATGCATTAAAACTAGGGGTATATAGGCCTGTCAGTTTTTTCTTTAATTTTTGCCATTAACAATTGTGATACAAGCTAAGGCTAATTTCCCTTTACTTTTCCACTCAGAATTCCAACAAAGTTTGGAAGACATTATCTAGACACTTCTAGACAACAATTTCCTCATCTGCAAAATGGAAAAATAATAGTATCCACATTGTAGGATGTTGAAATTATTAAATGGCATTAATTCATGTTAAGTGCTTAGTACTAAAAAGCATTCAAAATGTAATATAATATTCATTACTGCCATTATTATTTCCCTTTAGGAATTTTACTATCTGACATACAAAGTCAAGTTCTCTTAAATTTCTTAAAGTTTTTAAAAAACATTTGATGACATAAAAAAACAATTTTTTTTGTTTCAGTACCAGAAGTTTCCCATAGAAAGTAAAATGGTAAGATTACCTCTGAACCCTATTGGCACTAGTGGAAATATAGATCATATAACTTGGACAGTTTTGTTTATTATTGCTTTATCTACTTGATAGAAGACAGTGTCCTCTTGATGTCCCAGATTTGACAAGTTTATTTCCAACATTCTGTGCTTGCTTATGCTGTTTTTTAAAAGCCACCTTTGTAAATAAGTAACATTTAAATGAGTACCCATCTTATACCTATTTTTAGGATAGACTAACAATATATATAAAATATTTATATATACATATATACTTCTCTATTTTTATATCTATAAATATATTAGGTATTATTATAGAAAATTATATAGCAGTATAGAAAATATTTCTGAATGTAAAAGGCAGAATACTTAATTAAATCTGATTAAACTTTAAAAATATAGGGCGGAGGTTGTAAGCTCAGTGGTAGAGTGCTTGCCTAGCATGTATAAGAAAGGAGGTTTGATTCTCAGCACTACATATAAATAATTAAAAATAAAGGTCCATCCACAACTAAAAGAAAAAGCCAACTTTTAAAAGATGTATTGAGTAGGGTGGGACAAAGAAAAATCAGCATACTAGTTCATGAGAGTGAAAGGTTCTTTCACATTTCCCTTGTTATTATGTTGTCTGACAAATATATACATGGGAGCATGGAAATTCCATACAATTCTTAGAGAATCAGAGTGAGTCTGCATACCCCGGGAGTTAGGAAACACTTAGGCATTCAAACAGAAGTAGAAAATGTTAGACAAATGAAATGAATACATGAGCTAGAGGTAATACAAAAATACTGAGGTCTTTAAGAGAATTTGGAAAGTTTAGAAAGGTGATATGTTCTCAGGAATGGAGAGGTAAAATCAAACTTTCTTGTTTCTGCCCTTTTTTCATACCTATATATACTTGTCCCTTAGTATTGATGATAAATTGGTTTCAGTACCTTCTCCTATTTATCAAATCTGTGGATGCTCAAGTCCCTTAATAAAATGACACAGCATTTGTTATAACTTATGCATGTCTTGCAGTATATTTTAGATAATCTGCAGGTTACTTATAATGCCTAATACAATGTAAATATTTTTATACTATATTGTTTGGGGAATAATGACAGGAAAAATGTCTATATGTGTCCAGTACAGGTGCATTCTTTCCCCATATATTTTCCTTTTGCAACAGACAGAATCTGAGAATGTGAAACCTGTGGATATGGAAAGCAACTGTATTTTTACTACTCAATTATATCCTCTTACTTAAGTAAACTTCAACCTGTACTTTCAAAACATGTCCTAGAACCTTACTAAAAAAAGGATGAAAAATTTTCCCTCCTGTTTATCCTCAAAATCTGTTGCTAATCTTTGAAACTATTAATGGCATGTGCTGGTGTTACTAACTATATAATTAAAAGAGATCTGAATTTGTGACTAAACTAAAAATAGTACAGATGAACTCAAGATTTAGCCATTATAGTTACTTGACATGTGACCTTGGTGCTTATGTATACTCTGTGTGGCTCAATTTTCTCATCTGGGAAATATGGTAAAATTAGAAAGTTCATAGGGTTATTAAGCAGATAAAGTAATATATGTAAAGGACTGAGTACAATATCTGGCCTAGAAAATATGCAATAACTAGTTATTATCTAAATGAAAAATTAACCTACCATGTTGGAGGGCTCAGAGGAATGAGTCCACACAGAGCTGCTCCCTGTGTCTGCTTCATGTAAGGTATCTCTTTCTCCATTTTTCTCTGCATTGTACAGGTAGCCCTTTTATAAGGGTCTCAGCAGGTAATAAAACCTACCTTTGAGGCAGACATCTGCCATTCTCTAATGATGGACAGATTTTTGGAGTAGACTATAGGACATAAGTTCAACAGGCATATTCTTATTGATCATCTTTGCCAAAATAATCTAAATAGTTTTAGTGTTATGTATTTCTTCTACTAAAAATGCATTTTTTCCACATTAAAAATTCAATTGACTAGTCTACAAATTTTTAATGAAAGTTTAAACAGTATTATTTTGTTCAGTATTGCAATTGTGAAAATGATAACTGAATCCGAAAGCACAACAACCTTGAATTTCAGACATTTACTATCACAATTATGGATATAATTGTAGTTTTTAAAATATCAGGCAAGATTCTACTTTTACATTACACCAAATTTTCAGTATGACCTAATACAATGGAAATTAAAGATTGAATATTTTAAAGCATATACTTTTACAAAAATATAAAATTAAACTTTTCATTTATTTCTCTAGGAAGAAAAAAATGTAAAGGAACAGAAAAAGAATGACCCATGTTTTCTAAAGACATTACTACAAAAGATAAAAACTTGTTGGAATAAAATTTTGAGGGGCAATAAAGAACACTGAAAAGTATGGAGTGGCAATATAGAAACATAAAAATATTTCAAGAATGGATCTGCTAATGCAATTTTTCAGGATAGAAAGCCTCCTAGAAGTTACTGAATGCATTCTGATAAGAATGATTGAAAGGATTGAAAAATCCATAATGTAGTACCAGAAGATGTACATAAACAATGGAAGCTGAATGCTGCAATCAACAAACTATTTCATATGTATGTGGACATATGTCATTTGATACTGAGACTGTACTGATTTTGTAAGACAATCATGTAAGGTATTGGCTGCAATAATACTTTCTAAACCTGTATGAATATTTCAGGAGAAAACATCAAATCTATGAAGTATATAAAGTTTATAAAGATTCAAAATTAAAATTGTTTTATTATCAAAGCAATTCTATGACCCACTGTGCATATGTGTACTGTATTATGAGTGGAAATTGTCAGCTTCTATACTGGAGATGTGTTAGAGTTAACAGCGATATATGGATAATGCTCAGAGAACAAAAGTATTCTATACCTTGAAAAACAGCATCATAAAGAAGTCCAAGATACTTAAGAAAGATCTGAAGAGATTGTAATTAAATATGAATGTATAACACAGTGCCTTCAATAACAGTATAACAGGGGCTGGGCTTGTGGTTCAGTGGTAGAGTGCTTGCCTAGCACATGTGAGACACTGATCCTAGCACATGTGAGTCCGATCCTCAGCACCACATAAAAATAAAATAAGTTAAATAATAAAGGTATTGTGTCCATCTACAACTAAAAATATTTTTTAAAATAACAGTATAGTAAATATTCTTAAATGAAAACAAAGGATACTTTCAAAAAATAGAAATTCACTTAGTACTGAGATACTTTTATCATTTATGTATAATAAAACTTGTCTTAAAGAGTTTCCAATTTAGGGAATATATTTTAAGAGAATAATATATGTTAGCCTTTTAAATAATGGATTGTATATATTTAATTTTGACATTATTTCTGTATATAAAATATTTTCATACAGTATTGCAAATTTCTTACTTTGTGCTTACTTTGGATGACATTTCTCCTTTGATAATAAATAACCTATGTGTTAAAACTGTCAGATTTAATTAATCCCTAGAAAATTTGTAATTCTCCACAACTATCTGATCTTCCCTACTTTCATGAATGCATGACCTTTAATACCTTATTTCTAAGAATCATCATGAGAACGGATCCCAAAACTATAAGTAGGAACACCAGTTTTTATGTTAAATTCTAGTCTTTTAAAAGAAACATTTTGTATCCTGTTTAGATCCTGTTTAGAAAAGGCTGCAATCAGTCTTCAACTAATTATAAAGGGAAATGAAAACCTCAGGCAGCCAAGGCCCCCAAACAACTGACATTATGCATTTTGCCGAATTCACACCCTTTGTGACCTTTTATAGCTTAATTGCCACCTGGTTATGTGCTGGCTGAGGCTGTTGGATGTACAGAAGATTCTCCTGTGACACCTTCAATGTGTGGTGACACACCTTCTTGCTCCTCATTTTCTCCAGCCTATAAGGAGTTTCATGCTCCATAAAACAAATAGCTGAAGAGAATTGTATAGTCCCTTGTACATAATTTGCTGTACTGCCCCATATACCGAATTTTGAGTCTTTTTTTTTTCTGTTCAATTATCACTGTTTACTCCAGAAAAGGGACTGGACTAAACTTGTTAGAATTCCTCACAAAACTTTCTTTTACAGATGACCCACACAAGGCTGTAGCCACAGTAAAACATGGTAAATCTAACCATGTGGTATTCTTCTATCTTGATGAACTAGTGTTATTGTTAAGCCATCAAGTAGGGAAGAAGGCATTTACTTTTCTAGGGGTAAACTTCTAAAACCTTGCAGGCTGTTTATAATGTTCTCTAACAGTGCTGAAAAAAATTTATTTCAGATTGTGGCCCAATAAAGGGCAATATTTTTTTAAAAAAAAATACTTATTAAAAGAGTTGTTATAATCTTCTTCCTAATTTTTTTATTTTAGAGAAAATTCAGATGCAAAAAACGTTTGTGCTTAAATGGTTGGAAAAAAACCTTCCCATACATTTATGGTTGTATTTCCCTTCTCATTGTGTCTTAGCCACCAGCAAAGTAGGTATAGGTGAAAGGCTAGTTTATAATTATCTTGGTTATTTAATTTTTATTAGTTCTAATTCTCTAATTATAGAAATTCATCTCAGTGAACATTTCCTTTGAAATATGTATGTAGGTGGATTTATTTATTTATTTATTTTGGGGGGGCTGGGGATGTGGCTCAAGTGGTAGCACGCTCCCTGTAGGTGGATTTAAATCAGCATTTTCTCAGTTTGTCCCAAGAAGTCATGTTCATTATTGATGCTACTAAAAAGGATAAACAAGACAAAACAAAACTAGGAAGGAGGATGAAAGTCATATAAATTTTCTCTTAGAGATTCATAATTCATAAAAGTATATGCAATGGTCTATAAAACTATTAGTTGCCATGATCTGTACAGCTGTTTATTCAGGTTGCCTAACTAGGAGGTAAAGGGCTTGAGAAAAGACAAACAAATACTCAAATAGAGAAAAAGCTGGGACACAGTACTTCAGTTAACCTCTGATGGGGGAAGACTAACCATGAGCAAGAGAGGCATGTTTATTATATATGTTTAAACATCAAAAGGATTTATTGTTAGAAAGTTTCTTCAAAGCAAGCAGAATCAAGGTCATGAGTATGAGCAGCCTCATTATGAGTATCAGCTTGTGCCCATAACTTTCAACCTCCCGAGAAGCGGGCATCTAAACCTCAAGGATAAAAACTGAAGAGCTTCATGGTTGGCACAGAACCTCCAATTGAACAGGACATCACCATAGCAACTGGGCTATCTCAATGGATGGCTTCACACTCCGAGTTCTCCAGAGGGGCATCTCCTCTGTCACAGGACAGTTCAACCCATAATTAAGTTGCTGCTCTCAACAATGAAAATATCTTTTTAAAGAAGTTTAACATCAATGTAGCATTTCCAAAACTCATGTGGGAGAGGAATTTAGCTGGATGTTCCTCTTTTATTAAAGAAGGCTACTTTTATTTTAAAAACCATTGATGCAGCACAAAAGTAATACAATGTTTTTAAAAAAATAGCAAGATAAATATTACTTCATACAAAAGGTCTCAGTCAAAAATCTTTTAAAACAGATTTTTCATTAGTATATTGAAGGAAATATACTTCAGGATTAAGATAATCATATCATTTTTAAATCAACACAAAATTCTACACACTTCTGAGGTACCATATGAASATTAAATGTGTATATATTATGTGATGTTCAAATCAAGGTAAACATGTATTTCATCAAATATTTATCATTTATTTATGGTGAAAATATTTAAATTTTTTCTTCTAAATTTTTGAAAATATACAGTACATTACTGCTATCTATGCACAACATAATGTATACTAGCAGACTGGAACTTATTTTTCCTATTTAGCTGTAAGTTAGTACCCATTGACCAACCTTTCTCTACCTTGATACAGTGATAATTGAACAGAAAAAAAATGACTCAAAATTCTGTATATGGGACAGTACAGTGAATTACCATGCACTAGGGAAGTTTCTTCTCTAGTAGACCATACTTTCATGACAATCACCTTAAGAAGGTGCTATAAATATCTCTGCTATAAATATTTCTCTGGAAACATACACCCTGCACTCTAAATCAGGTCATCTTTATGGTGTTCTGTACATACAACTTTCATGTCTATCTTAAGATCTTACTTGCTTAGAAAATTTTTCTAAATTCTGTGCAGATCCTGCTCAAATTTCAAGGAGCACCTCAATTTCTTCCTCCTCAATTGTTCTGGCTTCCATGATAATTCTAGATGTTAATTTGTTTCCTTAGCTCACAGAACTTTGACACATGTATCATGAATTACTATTTAAAAAGATTCACCTTAGTATTGTATTTTAAATACAATCATTATTTAAATAATTTAACAGAGGTTATTTCCCCTGAATGAATACCCAACCTTTTGTCTTCCACCCAGTTTCTCATGGCCAAAGATAGACATACTAGTAGCTAACAAGTAAGGATCCTCGACCACATCCCACGCAAGAGGTGGAAATTAGCTGGTTGTGGAATAAAGGTTAAGAAAAATAGAGCGATGAAAAAACTACAGAACGCAGGAAATAGTTTCAAAAGAGGGGGCAGGACTGGCAGACTGATCAGATGGATCAAGCTTCTATACTCTGGCAAAATGGAGCCCACTCTTGCTTTATTTATATTGGGGGACATCAAAGGCTGGAATAAGATTTCAAGGACAGAGTCTTGCTTCATGTTGTCTTGCAGTCATCAGGTTGACTGACATCTTGGCAGTTCACACCCATCACAGGTGCTGTGTGGGATCTCTGGCAGAGTTTGAAGGGAAAGTCACCTGCATCAGGTGATCAATACCTATGGGGTTGCCACAGGAGGTTCCCAATGCCAGACTTATCCCCTCATTAGGCTACTATGTGCAACACAGTCCACACCCAGGCCACAGATGGCTCATGACAAGAATGAGCTGCATTTATGCCATTTTCATATGAAAACCCATAAAATAATACAGAAAATACATTTTTACAATAAAATATAACTTACTTAAAGATCAATATGATAAGCTGGGCATTGTGGTGCATGCCTAGAATACCAGCAGCTCGAGAGGCTGAGGCAGGAGAATCATAAATTTAAAGGCAGCCTCAGCAACTTAGCAAGGGCCTGTATCAAAGTAAAACATAAAAAGGGGTTGGGGATGTCACTCAGTGGTTAAGCCCCTCCGGGTTGACTCCCCAGTACCTTCCCCCCCAAAAATCAATGTTAGTATTACATGCTATAAGTAATTTAAGACTATGAATTTAAAGCTTTGGGTCCTCAAAAATCTGTGGAAGTTGCTTTGATTTTTAAATTTTATTTTGTGGTGAAATTTCTCTCAAACTCAATTTTGATCAATAATAGAATATATGTAACTGTTACAGGTAGAGACAACAA